GTTCAGTCGATCTCTTGCGTTTATAAACCTACATATGAAGAAATCGATGCCGAATAGCAGATCACAGCAAATCAAGTGGAAAAATCCCCGACATTTCACTGCCCACAGCCAGAGCTTGTAGCTGGTAGAATGAACCATACCTTTATTCCCGACTGATGAGTCTGGAAGGGCGAAACAGCAGCTGTCTAGTACTATGTACGTGTCGTACCACATCTCATAACAGGCTCAAACATATTATCTTGTTGTCAGAATAACAAACTCTGTGTTGGCTAAAATGGAGCCTCAACGCAAATACTCGTTGATTGGTGCTACTTCTTTAATGTCACTGTTTAGTTATTGAGACGCACCTGTACGCTTTCATCTATCGCAAAATGACAGTGCAGTCAATTCTGTGCCGTCTGTACACTAGTCATTGTTGTTGAACTCGCATAGTATAGAGTTCTTGAAAGAGTTGTTTATAAAATGAGAGCTGCGTGTTGAAGCACAAAGGTTCCCATTGCGTTGTGTTAGAGGGCAGAGCAGCAGTCACTAATTGTAACACAAATGCTACTCACCTAAAATTGGCATTGTTGATAAGACTGGCACATGTTGCGTTAGAAAATGTGCACAAGCTATAAATGATGGGGAATATACGTTTGTATTATTCATTCTGTTCAGCAGGCTTCTGATGAATAGAAGAACTTTGGGGCCTTCTTGTGTTGTGACTTCTCTTTTCTCAGTTAGATGTAGGTGCGAAAAAGATAAACACTCATATGTGAAGCGTTTTCACGTTCTCACTTCAGCAGAATTCGTACCGTCGCTTTCTCATAAATTATAAAATCAGGACAATTCTCTTTATACATAAATCACATACTTTGGCCACCTAGAACTGAGATCTTACAATATCGAAAGAAAAAGCTTTACGGGTTTAGTTTCGAAATAGAGCCAAGGCACATTTCCACTAAAAAAATGATATTTGAAAAAATTCTCATAAATCGAAATCAGTATCTAAGAATACTCAGTGCAGTTTCGGTTAGAGATTCAACTTCTTCTATGACATCTCTTCTACAGTTTTGACGCTTCTTGTAGTTTTGGTTAGAGATTCGACTTCTTCTTTAACATCTCTTCAACAGTTTGACGCTTCTTGTAGTTTCGATTAGAGATTCGACTTCTGTCTTTGACATCTCTTCAACAATTTTGACGCTTCTTGTAGTTTTTGGTTAGAGATTCGACTTCTTTTTTAACATCTCTTCAACAATTTTGACGCTTCTTGTAGTTTTGGTTAGAGATTCGACTTCTTCTTTATCATCTCTTCAACAGTTTTGCGCTTCTTGTAGTTTTGGTTAAGATTCGACTTCTTCTTTAACATCTCTTCAACAGTTATCGACGCTTCTTGTAGTTTCGGTTAGAGATTCGACTTCTTCTTTGACATCTCTTCAACATTTTGACGCTTCTTGTAGTTTTGGTTCAGAGATTCGACTTCTTCTTTTAACATCTCTTCAACAGTTTTGACGCTTCTTGTAGTTTTTGGTTAAGATTCGACTTCTTCTTTAACATCTCTTCAACAGTTTGACGCTTCTTGTAGTTTTCGTTAGAGATTCGACTTCTTCTTTGACATCTCTTCAACAGTTTTGACGCTTCTTGTAGTTTCGGTTAGAGATTCGACTTCTTCTTTAACATCTCTTCAACAGTTTTGACGCTTCTTGTAGTTTTGGTTAGAGATTCGACTTCTTCTTTAACATCTCTTCAACAGTTTTGACGCTTCTTGTAGTTTTGGTCAGAGATTCGACTTCTTCTTTAACATCTCTTCAACAGTTCTGATGCTTCTTGTAGCTTCGGTCAGAGATTCGACTTCTTCTTTAACATCTCTTCAACAGTTCTGATGCTTCTTGTAGCTTCGGTTGGAGATTTGACTTCTTTTTCAACATCTCTTCAACAGTTCTGATGCTTCTTGTAGCTTCGGTTGGAGATTTGACTTCTTTTTCAACATCTCTTCAACAGTTTTGACGCTTCTTGTAGCTTCGGTCAAGATTCGACTTCTTCTTTAACATCTCTTCAACTGTTCTGATGCTTCTTGTAGTTTCGGTTAGAGTTTTGACTTCCTTTTAACATCTCTTCAACAGTTTCTGACGCTTCTTGTAGTTTTGGTGGAACATTCACCTTGTCACTTTCCTTGCCGCGAATGTTGATTCTGCAATCTTTCTCGAGTTCACGCCTTATAATTGTCATAATTCTTTCTATTTTGACTGCCACTTGCAGTGGTATAATGTTATTAGTATATCCAATATGTGGAGTACTGTGCAAAAACGTCTGCGTCAGCCGGGATTCGAACTCAGATCTCACTCTTTCCGGGAGCGTATGCTAACCGTTGCACTACCGACGCTCGTTTTAACAGCACTCTTATTTACGCTGTAACGCGTTGTCTGCCAACAGCCAACCGTCGACGGTCTGGCGGGGCAGCCTCTATCGGCACTGAACCCACTTGAGTTGACAGACATTGGATATCGATAATCAGTCATAATTCTTTCAATTTTGACTGCCACTTGCAGTGCTATGCTGTTATTAGTATACCCAATATGTGGAGTATTGTGCAAAAAGTTTCGCATCAGCCGGGATTCGAACCCAGATCTCATCTTTAAGGGAGCATATGGTAACCATTGCACTACCGATGCTCGCTTTGCCCAGCACTCTTATTTACGCTATAACGCCTTGTCTGCCAACAGCCAACCGTCGACGGTCTGGCGGGGCACCCGCTATCGGCATTGAACCCACTTTTTTCTCTGGTATATGTGGATACTCGAGGGAGCTGGATCAATTATCTCATCCAGACTTCGTATCGCTAACACATTTGAAACAAATATTATGTAAAACATTCGCGATTGGGTGGGCAGAGTCCGCGTTTCATGCGAACTGGCAGCGTTGATGCCATAATAGGATATATTGAAGAAAGAGTGATAAGAGAATGGTGGCATTGGTGGTGCAGTGGTAGCCAACGTATCCCCAGTATATATGGCTGAGATGCGTGCGTTCAACCGTTGTGTGATGACTGTTTCGCATACCACACAGTACTCTCGAATGCATAGTCATAACATCATTCCACAACTATAAATCGTTAGTCCACTTTTTCGAACTGTCTCTGTTTTTTTTGTAACATCACTTTATAGTGCTCATGCAGGATGACCAATATTGTTACAAAGAGTCAATGAAAACAAAATACAGTGTTCGTCAAAGGAAAGACTGAGTGCGACAAGTGGAAGTCGACATATTGAACCATTACTAAATGTTTTATTATCATAAAATCTTAGCAACACACAACATGAAGTGGGCTTCTTGTTTCATTTATCTGTCATATACTCCATAGTGCAGCTTCTGTTGAGTTGGCTTAACGCTTTACGTACTACGAGGCTAGTGCATTACTATTACCACATTTTGACTCAAGCTTTTTGAGCAAATAGAGGTGGATTTTCTTTAACTATTTGATGATCATCGTCAATGATAGCAGATCGTCCTCAGTCCCAGCTTTGTTGAAAGTTCTTCACATTGGCAATTGGTAGCCATTTTACACTGTTCTTTCATAAAGGGCTCTTTGATCGATTACAACCGTTATGCTACCTCTGCTTCGACGACTTTTCGTCTGAGTTTACGCTTTTTTTCACATATGGACGATCTGAAGGCCTAACATAAGAGCGGTCTCGCAATGTAAAACTCAATTTATAAGCAAAGCAGAGATAGAAATTTGCGAGTTATGTTAAAGTCGAATGAATTTGCTCTCGCTAACCGCATCAGCTTTTTCGGTATTCCAGGAAAAATGAAACTGAAAGCGCTGTGGCTATGTCCATGAAAGTCTACATTCCTGCACCTCCACCGTATATCTTCACATTTTTTTTAAAGTTTTTGACATTCTTGTCTATGTAGCGCACTTTGATGATACTCTTTGTTTAGTAAAGTGAAGTGCAGATATATCGGACATATCATCGGGCCGAGGGGAGCGACAATTAAAAGGCTTGAACTCGAGAAAGATTGCAGAATCAACATAAGCGGCAGGAAAAGTGACAAGGTGAATGTTCCACGTAAAGTAGCCGCTAAATTAGTAGTGGTAAATGTAATTAGTCATCATTAGTAATGATAATGCATTCAGAATCCTGTTCCTCGAAGTGCAGAGTAATCATTTAGTATCACAGGTCATTCAAAAATGTTTTGCTGAGTAAGAGAGCTAGAAATAAGAGAAAACTTCAGGAAAGCAAGCCTCTCAGCGAAACCAGCTGCGGACCAGAAGTTGAACACCACAAGGAGGACAACCGTGTGCTTATTGAAGCAGAGTGGCCTACACATGCTGAGAGAGCGCTGCTAATCCCTATATAATTATGGAAATGAATCAAATTTTCTGTTTTAGGTGTCTCTCCCAGATCAAACAGGCAGTGAAGCGAATTTTGTGAGATGTTTACAACCTTATACGATAAACTGAGACGCGAGCAGCTCATTCAGGTTGCTGTACTTAATGGAACCTACGCGCCTAGAAATGTTCGTCATTCTTACAGACCCGCAAGGATAGCAGCGTCACTTTGTAAAAAAACACTACAATTTCCCGACATCTTGTTTGATAAAAGTCGAAAAAGGAAATTAACTTTTCTACATCAATAACCGGAAAACGAAGCATACGCAAATACTCTGACATGATTCCCGTTAGGGAAAGCTAAAATTTTCTTTTCTATTGGTGAAATGATTGTGAGGCATGTGAAAATCAGTTATGAAAAAGTTAAGAGAGTTCTTAGAACGCTGAGATCAAACAATTTATAGGAGCAATAAAACAGCGTGGACTCATAGATGTCTTAGTGAGATTGATTTCTATGATAAAAGTATACGTGAGATTGATACAATAAAATACAGCTATCGCGAGTGTTATGATAACTCTACCACCAAGGCTTGCTGGTTTTATGTTAGAAAGCTATAAAATTTCGATAAGCAGAAGGCCTGAGGAATCGATGCTCATGGTCAAACTCGCTTCGATGAGAACGCCAACGTCACCGATATCTCTGCGTTTGCATGTTCCAAGAAAAATTTATTCTCCGTTGTCACAGACAGCAAAAAGTTGGTTTCGTCCTCTTGTCTCAACCAAATCGATCACGTCATACCTTACCCATCGTGCTCTCATTAACATATCTTCAATGAATTTGCGTGTAGCTGTGCGTTCATTACAGGCATAAATCGCCACTCTAGTCCTTTTCGATTATGGTAGCCTTATTTGGCTCAGAGATTTTAGCAACTCTCTGCGCTCATTTTACCAGACGCTGCCTCATCTAGAAGTCATCTCATTGTCAGGGAAATATAACCAGTTTTTTTACTACTATCATCATCTTACACCCAACAGAGTTCTGAACGTGAATAGTTCGCCAGACTTTTCCGAAGTGATAGGAGGGTGTTATTTATTGCAGGCGTTTCCTCACCGAATCCCAAGTACTTCTCAGCTGCTTGGTTGTAGGCTTTTGTCCAATTTGACTCCAAAATTAAACTCATGACAAGTCGGGGTAGCAGAAGCAGGGACTCCTCATTCCACATGCGTTCATGAAAGGCCCCAATAGTCTTGGCTTCGCGTTTAATTCCTCTATCCACCATCTTGCGACGCACTACGTGTCCTCGAGGCTAACCGATCAGAGATCTGTGATTCGAAGCATTAGCATGATCAAAACTAAAGGTTGCTACTTATTAGATGAATGTACTCTATCCCATATCGATTCTTATGAATTGCATGGTCAAGTTGTGTATGAGAAGTGTTCATATCGAGTGAGAGACTAATTCATTGATCAACGAAAAATTCTTTATTTTTCCTAACAGACTCGATCACTTTTTATAAACAATACAAACTCACTTTTCCATCATCTTCTCCAAGCACCGTGAAGCATGTTAACACACAGTTCAACCGGCAAATTTTGAAAAATGTAATTTCGTGGTAAATTTAATTGCATACGAAGACTTTTTTGTGATGAGACAAGTATCCGGTTGTGCTTTTGAATCACACAGCATTTACTTATTTATTCTTCCCCCCTTCAGCTATGAAAGAATACTTAAGCCGATGATTTAACTGTACTGAACATGCGATGCATGAGAAATAGAATATCCGAGGAAGTCTTCTGAAAATTAAGCGACACACTCAGCAGTAAACCAGTTTTCTTACTTCAGATTTATAAATAATATTCTTCAGTTGAGAGAGCAGAATGTTTCAATCCAAGAAAGACTTGTTGACGGTACGCATCATAAATGCATAGGGACGAAGATCGACGCAAAAAACTGTTCTTTTCCGTTACACAGCACGGGACGAAGAAACAACGCCTTTCGGTAGGCAAGAAGTTTTCACAGGAGTGGTAGTCAATCGCAAACTTAAATCTCTTGCTACTACGCTACCCAACCGCTCTTAAAAACATCCCTTTGAGACACTGTGAAATACGAATTATTATTTAGGCTTATGCCGGCCGCCCAATTTTGCAGTCACTTCGCTTGAAACACGAAGAGCGCATGAGCATATAGAGTAACCCGTTTAGCATCAGAGTCTTACGTTTTATTTTAAGTTTCTTTGAATGCGAAGATTTTTCAATCAACAATCATACTTCACATGTGAGCCGCTAAGCGCTATCGTTCGATTGCGTGTTGAAATGTCGCGCCTCTTCCCGTGTCCCTTCTTCCAGCCCGTGGATCGGCTGAAAAACAGATGCCCGAGTATGTGATTTATTCTTATTATCCCTTCTATGCTGCAGAGGAACGGCCTTTCAAGAAAATAAGTGCAGCATTGGAATCGTTAAATTCTACGTTTTTCAATGATCGATAACAGTCTGAAGGAAGATCTCTGTCCTGTGAGAAATATGCGGGTATGAAACACAAGTGTATGTCTTCAGCTATAGCTTCAGTTATGAAAAAAGCTTTGCGAAAAACGGTTAAATAGCGCATATATATAATCAATAATAACCAAATAATCAAGTTTTTGAAAAAATGCTATCACTTCTAGGAAGAGTTTTTTTATGAAGCGAAAGGGATGGTGTACTCATGACGTGCTGTCTTACGGAAAAGTACCCAAGGGAAATATAACAGATCTCGAGAGTGAAATTACTTCGTGAAAAAAACCTGAGAAGATAGGCTGCTTTGTTGGCCAAAAGCCCAGATATTTATGCACAAATATGAAACACAATTTTGGATTTCTACTCCCTATTGATAGACACGGCCTAGAAATGGAAAAAGTAGCCTTCCTTTCGCTTTTCAGCACTCCATGAAGATATTTTCGAAAGCCAAACTTAGCTTGAGATCATCATAACGTATGTAATCAAATAACTACTTGCATCGGCGCACTATGGTGCGAATGTTACAAAATCTCAACCATCCCCAAATCCCAGCTGAACGACAACTGCACGCCGAGTGTGAATCGTGATTTTCTTTCACTGATGTAGAATTGTATGAAAGCTTTCAAGAAAATAATTTACATTACAGAATTATCATTTTTAAAACTATCGAATAGGTTCTAGAGCTTTGAGAAAAAAAGCTCAGGAATAGACTTGACCCTAATGAGTTGAAAAAACGAATTTCTTCAACGGAAATCTAGCGGGAGGCCCAACATCAGTATTGGACAATATCGTCCTCAGCATCCTTAGAGCAAAAGATCACGATAAACATCTAATTTTTTGGAATG